GACAGTAACAGCAGTGTAGTGAAAGTGACGACCTGACACAGTAACAGTAGTATACAGACAGTGACGACCTGACACAGTATAGAGAAAGTAACGACCTAACACATTACACAGTAACAGCAGTATATAGACAGTGACGACCTGACACTGTAACAATAGTATACAGACAGTGACGACCTTACACAGTACACACTAACAGCAGCATACAGACAATGACGAACTGACACATTAGACAGTAACAGCAGTGTAGTGAAAGTGACGACCTGACGCATTACATAGTAACAGTAGTATACAGACAGCGACGACTTGACACATTACACAGTAACCGCAGTATACAGACAATGACGACCTGACACAGTACAAAAATCTTGACATAATACATGCTAAGTAAAGCCTCGATAGAGAATGAAACAGACGCAGCACCTATGGATTTCTATGCGATCAGACTGTTGAAACAGACTTTGGTCGTCAGATAGAACATGGCAAAATGTGGTGCTAAACATGCTCTGGTCGTCAGACAGTACATTACAAAACGTGGTGCAAAACAGGCTCTGATCGTCAGATAGTACATGACAAAATGTGGTGCTAAACAGGCTCTGGTTGTCAGACAGAACGTGACAAAATGTGCTGCTATGGACTCTAACGATGTGATGAGGCTCCAAAATAGTTTTAATATATCGTACTCAACTTTTGTATACCATAACACATTCACTGCCTTCTGCCCCATCGGTGGGTTACAGCCGACTTTCTTATAGACCTCGTGACACACCGGTTGGTCACAGATAATTATGTTTCAAAGCCAAATTTCTCACGTGGCATATGAGTTTGGGACATGTGACTGCTCCTTGGCACCCCTCGGATGTTTAATTTTATTTAATTTATTATGCGGCAGCGAACGTGTTAACATAATCTTCTGTAGTTCAAATATACTGTTTATAATTTGTCTACGGTATACGAAGCTTGTGTACGAAATTAAGGTAAGTATTTATATTTTTAACCTAAATTGTACATTCTGCGCACTTCGTCTGAGCATTTAGAGTTGAGGCTTAACCGTTCTTATGAGATGCCGACAAAAGGGAAGTCAACCAATCAGCAGCACCCGCAACCATATATATATATATATATCGGAATTGCTTTCCACTCTTTTAACGCACTTACATCTGAAAGTACAGTGATTGTTAGCGAGTTCGTAAATACGAACCCCTCGACCTTTAGATCCGCAGCCCGGAATGATAGTTTTGGAAACTGAATTTAATATTTATTACCTCACTTACGTAAATTATAGGACTTTAGAATACATCATCTCAAGAGTACTTCACTCTGAACAAATGTTAGACACATGTTTAAATTGTTAAAGCTATTTTTACTGTTTTTCTTTAGCTAACGAAATTATAATTACGTTTAATTAGGAGAGATTTAAACTAACACTTAGTAGTAGACTTATTAAGCAACAATGATCTTAATTTCTCGAATATTTAGTTATAAAATTGCCAAGTACTCATCAAATCTGTTAATACAAATCTGTGTAGAACCAGTTTGATTGTTAAGTAAATAATATGTAGTAGAACCAACCATATTTTTTTTTACTTATTCTCTTCTACATACTGGAACCAGCCTGATGTTTTTTTCGCTTTTTTTCTACTACAATTAACCAGCCTTATATATATTGTCCTCTACATACTGAAATCAACCACTTTCTCTTCCGCGTTCGAATAAATCAGACTTTTTTTGTTTGTCTGTATATTCTAATCAACCTACTACAGCTACCACCTTATTTTTTCTTTTTCTTTCTTTGCTTCTGCTTGTTCAATCTGCCATTTATTCACAATATCTCCAATGTAGATACACAAAGTTTGTCTTTATTAAAGAACTAAGATACAATCCAAATATATAAATAGAATCCTTACATGTCCAAAGATACGGGCCTCTATTGTTTATTGTACTTAACAACAACAAAAAAACCTTTTCATAATATTAATTAGAAAATCTGCGAATGAATGACAGAAATTCATTACCCTTGCTGTAAATTAACCTGAGACAGAAAACAAAGGAATTTTAAATTTCTTACTCCTGTGTTTTCTTTATGCTATACTTTAGCAAGTATAACTTCTTAGAAGTCCAAATATCAGAATCTTTAGGCAGTTTTCTTTTTCAAAATCCTGACAAATAATAATAATAAAAAACATATTGACTATAGGGACTCGGATCTTTGGAAACAATTACATCATAGATATTTAAAACAGATAATATAGCCAAACAAAATAATAGGTACACGAACTAATACGCACGAGTTTTCCTTCCTATTTTTATGAGAAAGCAAATCCTCCAAACATTAAGTCTTAACGTTGTTACTTGTATTTCTACACAGACACTGATATAGAAGAATTTAGAAATGTAGTCTGTTTAGAATACGTTACACTAAGAAGCCTTGAATGAAATGATACAAATTTTATCATGAAGACAATTAGTCAGTTGGTAATAAATACTTTATGAAATAGTTTTGTGGTTGCAATATCTTATACTTTTTCACCTATGAGAAAAGCAATACTGGTTGTTTGACAGAATGAAAGGAAACCTAATACTCCATTTGTATTATTTACTCTTCATAAGATACACTTTTTCTGCTTTAGAAACATGAAGTCATATCCCTGAAAGTAGTTTAAAAATGGATCCCAGTATATTTGAAACATTTGTGATTATGGCAAAGCTATTAAGGATGTCTTGCTGTCGTCACTAATTTTGAGCCTCTAACCAGAGGGAAATCAGCCAGTTAGCTGCATCCTACGTCCACGCTAATGGGTTGGCTGACACTCTTTTAATGCATTGACAACTTAAAAAAGAGAAGAATATGTCGTAATATCACACGGATTCGAACCCAGCTCGCCAAATCTGAAATCCAGAGTTGCACCACACGGACAACACAGGCACCATAACTAACCTTGTCTAGCCGTAAGAAAATTGTTTAAAAAATCATTAAAATAGACTTAAATGACTTTTCTAGAGGTAAAATATTTTTAGGTTTTTTGTTACTTATTTCTTAAGGAGCCTTTGCTTTACGAGTTCTTAACCATTTAACCAAGCTGCCATCAGATAATAGTGATTTCGCCCACTTCGCACTTTTATTTTCACATTTCACGATTAAACCCAGCAACTTCATTCAGTACCCAATTAACTCCCATTTTATTGTTAAGTTTCCAATGAACTTCCATTTTATTGTTACGTTTCCAATGAACTCACACTTTATTATTAAGTTTCCAATTAACTTCCATTTTATTGTTACGTTTCCAATGAACTCTCACTTTATTGTTAAGTTTCCAATGAACTCTCACTTTATTGTTACGTTTCCAATGAACTCCCACTTTATTGTTAAGTTTCCAATGAACTTCCATTTTATTGTTACGTTTCCAACGAACTCACACTTTATTATTAAGTTTCCAATGAACTCTCACTTTATTGTTACGTTTCCAATGAACTCCCACTTTATTGTTAAGCTTCCCCTTAACTCTCACTTTATTGTTACGTTTCCAATGAACTCTCACTTTATTGTTAAGTTTCCAATGAACTCTCACTTTATTGTTACGTTTCCAATGAACTCTCACTTTATTGTTAAGTTTCCAATGAACTCCCACTTTATTGTTACGTTTCCAATGAACTCCCACTTTATTGTTAAGCTTCCCCTTAACTCTTACTTTATTGTTAAGCTTCCCCTTAACTCTCACTTTCTGTTAAGTTTCCAATTAACATTCATTTTATGAGGTTTTGAGCTTTCCTATAATGTGCTCTTAATAGAATATTTTTATATAGAATGCTTTGATTTCTAATTAACTAACAATTAAAAAGGCACATCCAAAATAATCGAAGTAATTAGATAAAAATAACAAACAAAAGGAGATTTTTAATTAAACGGAAATAGGTCATAACCATGCGCACTCGCTACAATTCAGAAAACGAAAATTATGTTCGTTTTCATTGTTTTATCTAATTCAGAAAACACGAATATTTCGTGAATTTCAAGCCATATTTTCTTGTAACAATACCTATTAGGCCAAGTCTGGAATCAAAGTTGAAGTTTGCACACAATTACGGACTGAACGCCACAAGAACGCTGCAAATACCACTAGGAAGCCTATTTTACGGCATCTACTAGCTTTGTATACAGTGCGGCGAAGTACAAAAGGTTTCACAAAAATATAGACACAAGAGTTCTACGTCTACAGTACTTATATATATATATGGATAGAGATTCAACATAAGTCAAAATGGTTTTTTTTGTCCATGTATCACACTAAATCCTGAATGCAACATACTCATTTTGTAGACTAGCGCGTTGTTCGTGTGAAACATTTATTGTAAATATGCCGACTTTCTCGATGCTGGTTTCAGCGAAAAGGGCAGATTATTGAGTTACATATAGCTCATAATCGAATACGACGTACTGGAAATAACATTTATAATAGATCCTGGGTACGATATAGTTATCAATATGTTACTTGGATTACTACAATGGAAACAGAGGTGCAAATGCTCTTTAAATACTTGTATCGCTACCACGAACAACGTGTTGAACCTCGTTAAAAATAAGACATTACTCTAGGGTTTAAAGCAGCAGTCAATAATATTCATTGTTGACCGTGAATAGTTCTTTTGTACGTGCATTGAAATAGAACGTTATTGATTGCATATAATGCAAACAATAATTTCCTCGTTTAAATATTAATTACACACGACAATAAAAGCTCTATTTCCATTTAGACTCTGAAAGTCATAAAACAAAATGGTGTCAAACTTACACATACACACCGCCAGTTGTTCAGTTAGACAAAAAACTAAGTATATGTTTGAACAAGTCTTTTCATTTTCCTGAAATTCTACCTAAAAGTATTGGTCAAAACCGTAGTTACTTTAGCAAATCACCACATTAGAACTGTACATCTTATACTGGGATATCACTGAAAGTCTAAACAATCAGCAATAGGATCGCGCCTACACAAAACAAATAGTACAACCACAAACAATATCATTTCAACACTTAATGTAGTGTGTGAGAGCTGATGCTTTGTCGAGAAAAAAAAACTTAGGCCTAAAACTGCAACAATAGGGTTAAAATTAATTTGTTAAAGGCTTAAGAAAAATTTTATACATATATCTATTCATATTGTGAGCAAATTTATTCTTGAACTTTCTATGCTTTTTAATTTCCCTTGCCAAGAATTACGAAATGTGCTAAGAAGCGTGTAAATTTTGATTTTTTTTTAGAATTTCCATTTAATATTATATCAATTTATCTGGTTACAACAAATTTATATTACATTTAAACCGACGTACACTCATTTTTTCGCTCGACTCGTCATTTTTCTTAAATCTTCACTCCGTAATCGAATCACAAACTAGCTGCATCTGCTGACGTCATTGAGATTCTAGTTCAACTAAATTCAGTCCTCCAATCGTTACGAAGTACCTACGTCATTAAAATCCCCTTTTTCTTCCCGTTTCAGAGCAGTATATCAAAATCAGTAAGTTTCGTTTTACATAGTTATATCATCTTTAGGTACTTGGGATCCTTTGGTTGAATCTGGACAATGCCACACAAATAAGTCTATCAAACGTCCAAATAGAACAGACAAACAACCTAGATCCATTCTATATGATGAGCTCCCAGTGACGATATCGAATGACCTGAGAGGTAGGGGGGAGACCAGAATGGAACAGCTTACATTCCACACAGAAGCGCCAAGCTCACTAAAACTGTCGCCACAGAAACCGACAAGGTTGTAGTGCCCCCTGTTATCGTAATTTCTCCGGGTTTTACCATAATACGGTCGATGACGTGAATGATGCCATTGGTTGCTTGAACGTCTGGTCGAACAATCGTAGCTCTAATGTTTTGCCATTCGAGAGATAATTGTCCTACATAAATATAAAGAGAAGAAAATACACATTTTTAGCAGCAATCCAAAAATATAGTCTTAAAAGTTAAGATAATTCATAGTTACTCGATAGTAATTTTTTTATATAATTGTTGCGTCAGCGAGGTCACGTGACTAGTATCAC